GAAGCCCTGGCCAAGGATGGTGGGTGCCAGCTCCAAGGAGAGCTGGGCACGGAGCATCCAGCTGGAGAGGAACCAGGAGCTGGAGTAACCGGGTAGGAAACCAGCTGGAAAAAGTCATGGGCACATGCAGTGAGACACAGCTGATTTGGGCAACCTTGAAAGAACACAGAGCTATGGGACAGGACAAGGAGAGTGGATTTCWATGGGTTAGACTGGGAAGGAATTCATGACTGGGAGGGTGGGCAGGCCCTGGCACAGGGTGCCCAGAGAAGCTGTGCCTGCCCCTGGATCCCTGGCAGTGTCCAAGGCCAGGCTGGACACTGGAGCTGGGAGCAGCCTGGGACAGTGGAAGGTGTCCCTGCCATGGCAGGATGAGTTTTAAGGTCCCTTCCAACCCAACCATTCAGGGATTGCGATCCCATTGGATCAGAGGCCCCGGAGCACCTGGCATTGCTGAGCTGCATCTTTGGAACAACATCCTGTAAGCTCAGCTCACCTGTTAGCCACAGACAGAACCAACAGCCCCACAAAACCTGCACTTCAAGCTGAACCAAACCCACACCAGGGCCAAGGGAGGGAAAGCAGCTCACGGCCGAGGTCTCCTCATAAATCCGTGTGACACTGACAGAGCACTGGCTGTGACACCGTGGGGGGTCAGTTCCCTCTCACACTGGACTGGGACAATTAACCAGCCTTTAATTAATGAGCAGGCTGCAATATGATGACACTCTGACCATTTCAAAAGCATTAKTAGAGCCCCTCTGCTATTACAAGTTCCTCCACCACACTGCACCATGCTGATGATCTCAGGATGACTGGCTGCACTCACACACCCTTCAGCCCCTGCCCTGATTAACAGAGCGTTAATCAGCTGATGAGCTCCTGTCAGACAAACCCAATTACAGTTTGGGGTCCCATGGGAAAATTACAAACATGGTATGAATGAAAGGTTACTGTGCAAATGTTAGACCCACTTAAAATAATGGGAACCAGGCAGGAAAAGAAAATATTTACAGCAAGAGCTTCACTGTGGCTGTAAAAGCAAAGCAAATYCTGTCATTAAACAGAGATGGGCACTTCTTGCTTTTAAATGTATTTGATTTGCACACAAAACGTTGAGAAATCTGCCCTGCATCCCACAGRGGGACTGTGGCAATGGGCAGCACAAAGCCTGGCATGGGCTGGGGACAGAAGGCAGCCGCAGGGATGGGGATGGATGGGAGGAAGGAGGGATCCAGGCAGGAGATGAGCACTCTAGCAGGCCCTGCAGGCCTCATTTGGGGCAGTGATTCAGGAGCAGCCTGTCTGCACCACAGGGTGGTTGTGCAATGAGCTCCCTGCCCGCAGCACTCGGCTCGGCAGCGCCAGGGATCCGAGCTGGCCCTGCCTCAACAGCTTATGCCATCAAAATCCCTAAGAGGATACAGCCCCCAAACGCTGAAACAAATTAATTTCTTTTTTTTAAATCGACTATTCTTTAAGGACAGATTGACGGGAAAAGTATCTTTTGCAAGTGTCCCTTTGAAACTGAGCTTGAGGAGCAGAGGGAAGGGGGATGTCAGCAGCAAATCGGAATCCAACAGCCCAACCCTGGCTGAGTGAACACCTCCCATCATTTCCCCCCTCAGCCATTCCTCAGCACCCAGCCCTGCATCAGCCAAGGCACTTCCTCGGAAACACAGAATTTAGCACCATGCTTGTCATCTCTAATTCCCAATTTGAGTTTTAATTCACACAAGGTGCAGCACAAAGGTTCAGTCGCATTGTAAAGGCCGATAATGCCCGTCATGTTTCTGTTATCAGCTCAGCTGCCTCCTGACATTAAAAGGTATAAAATAATTTTCCAGAAGACTCTGGGGCAGCTCTTCCAATGACAATGACAACAATGARAAGCTGAAATAAACCCAAAAGAGGGATAAGGGATTAAATTCAAATTGCATGATCAGCCTTATAGCCAACGTTTYCTAAGCTGCACAGTGAAAAATAGAAGAAAAACAAAATTACAGAAGTATGCAAGGCCTGATTTACAGGAGATGGATCCAACTTCCGTCAGAGAGAGCAATCTGCAGCATCACAGTTGCCATGGCTCCCGAGGGAGCTGTATCAACGTGGGGACCTATTTTAGCAGCACATACAGGAGCTGATGTTTTTAGGGAAGCATCCTGTTATCCTGGAACACATAGTGTAGAACATGGAAGCCTGGCTAAAGAGATCTCATTATTCAACTTGAGCAGGAGATCCTCCAAAATGCCTAAATCTGGGAGTAAAACACTGCCTGCCCAGCAGGGGCAAGAGAAATGGCTTCAGCACCCAAGGAGGCTGACAAGAAAGGGGGAAAGGGATGGAGGGACAAGAAATGGAGGGACAGGACACAGGGAATGGCTTCCYACTGCCAGAGGGCAGGGATGGATGGGATATTGGGAAGGAATTCCTGGCTGGGAGGGTCGGGAGGGACTGGAATGGAACTCCCAGAGTAGCTGCGGCTGCCCCTGGATCCCTGGCAGTGTCCAAGGCCAGGCTGGACAGGGCTTGGAGCASCCTGGGACAGTGGAAGGTATCCCTGCCCATGAAATGGGGTGGCACTGGATGAGATTTAAGGTCCCTTCCCACCCAAYCCCTTCCAGGATCCTGCTGGATATAGGGTGTGAGGATGAGCTTCCCAGTCCTGCCTGACAAACACAGTGAGGTGTTGGCCAACAGCTGAAAATCCAACTCCCTGAGCATCCAACTGCTCTGTAACAGGGGCACCAGCAGGCACAGGGAGGGGACACATGGTCTGTGGGCCACCTGGACTATGACAGTAATCTCCTGGACCCTGCAGCTCTGCCCAGGGAAGTGCTGCCYTCACCAGCCCTGGACGTGACCATAAAAGGTGTGGCTGTGACACTTGGGGACAYGGTTTAGTGGTGGCYTTGGCAGTGCTGGGGTTAATGAGCAGTTCCCTGGCTCTGTCAGTAAACAAGAACATTCCCCACGGTCAGGGACCTCAACACCTCTCCCTTCACTGCTTCCTGGGCTCAGCTTGGGTGTGACTGAATTCCCTGCTGCAGCCTCAGATCCGCCCCAGGCGCTTCCACACCAGTTGTGCCAAGTGAAGGACTCAGCCAGGCTTTGTGGGTGGCTGCAGCTCATGGAACAGCTGTTCCATGCAAGGCCAGCCACGGATGGAAATGGAGACAAAAGCCTCGGTCACATATCTGCATTTCTGGGGAGGGGCTGCCCAGGGAGCTTTGGGGTCCYGACCCCAGGAGGTGTCCAAGGAACACCTGGATGTGGCACTTAATGCTCTGGGCTGGGGACAAGGTGGGCAYTGGCACAGCTCGGACTGCAACCTTAACGATCCTGGGATTGCGTGGATGCCCAAGCACCTTAAACTGCTGYGGGAACACGGCAACCAAGAGCTCCAAAACAAGCTCAGTCATGGAACCATGGACCCACAGGGATCACTGATCCAATCCCTGGCCCTGCACAGAGACCCCAATAAACCCACCCTGTGCATCCCTGTGAGCGCTGTCCCAATGCTCCTGGAGCTCTGGCAGCCTTGGGAATGTGACCATTCCCTGGGAAGCCTGGGCAGTGCCAGACAAGGCACTTCTTAAAACCCCACCCAACCAACTGTTGAACCTACAATGTGTGGAGGGGGTGAAAGCAAAGGGATGTCATCCAAGCCCTGTGCAAACTCACACCAGGACCACTTCCAGGTGCACAGAGTGTGCCCGCTCAGGCACAGGCTGCAGCGCTGCTCTGAGCCAACACTCCTTCATCCCATGCACGTGTTACCTGGGCAAGACGCTCAGGAGGAGCTTTTCCTTCAAAAACTCCTAGTGGAGAATGGAAAGGCTTTGGAGAAATGTTGGTTTTGTAAAAGATGCTGCCTTCAGCTTTCCCTTTGTTTTGTTGCATCATGCACCAAAGAGCATCACTTCTGCAGGCACAAGTTCATGCAAAGAACACCACTTCCACTAAAATAGAACTACTTCGGGTTATGCAACACTCATTAAAATTACAAAACCTCTCAAAAACCTGAGCAGCATGTTAAGGCACTCTGGGGCTCGGGGTCTGGTGAGTTAGTGGCTGCATCATGCAAACTGGCAGCAAGAAACTCTGCACGAACAGAACAAACTTTCATGCCTGATGACAAGGCAAAAACGGAGAGCACCTGAGGGCAGGGAGAAACTTCCCAGCCCATCTCGACACAGTGGGGTTCACTGAGGTGCCAACTCTTTCTGAGGAAGCTTTAGAATGAGTAGAAGTACAAGAATATTTTAAATTTCATCTCTATCCATATTTCAAAATTTTTAAGAACTTGATTCAGTTCTATGGGATGATTTCCAGCTCATTTCCTATGAGCACAGGGACCTTGTTCCCTGGAGAACAGCCAGGGTGACTAGCCCTGGATACTGACCAGCCCATCCAAAGTCTCCACAGAGGGATAGTCTCAAAATTTACATCAGTACCACTATTGTTAGAGCTGCTTTGGAAGGGGTTTTGACTCTAGAAGGAAACATTTTGTGGATGAAGAGGCTCAAGGAAGCTTAACCCAAACCAACTGCAGGTGGAAAAAGGGATGCAGTTGGTGTGGGGTGGGATAAACCCAAACCCTACAAACAACAGTGACCCAGAACAATTCCCCTGGATTCCTCCATCCCTGAGCAGGGTCACAGTGACCACTGTCACTGCACAGGTCAAGGCCACTTCCAGGCTGAGGTGACAAGAAGCCAATGCAGCTTCCCCCCCAAAAGTGCCACTTTGCTTTAATACTCTACAAAGCCTGTAAAACTCCAACTGAACGGATAAAACCCAGTGCAGAGCTCTGGAACTCGCAGTGAGCTGCTGGAGCTCCCAGCTTTGGGAACGAGCACCGTGAGCCAGGCAAGCAGCGCCAGCAGCCCCTCAGAGCAGCCCCACACCCCTCATGCCACACTGGGAATGACCACTCGGGCTCATGCCAAGGCAGGGCAGGCAGCAGCCCCGCYGCATTCCCTGGCACACGCACACACCTTTGTCCGGCCGGGGCCGTGGCGCTGCGGCCGCTCTYGGCTGCCGGGGGCTGCCTCTGTCCAGCCCGGGCCTGGCCACCAGGGCTGGCCCCCCTCGGGCCTTGGTGGGTCTCATGTAGCCCTTGAGCTGCTCTGCTGCCTTCACTCTCTCTTTCTTTGCCTCTTTCACAGTTTTCTGTTTACATTCTTCTTCTGCTTCTTTAGTTGTGTCCTGAGATTGCTTTTCTTTGGCTGTGTCTTGGGATTCCTTTTCTTTATTTGTGTCCTGAGATTCCTTTTCTTTGGTTATTTCTTGGGATTCCTTTTCTTTAGTTTTGTCCTGAGATTCCTTTTCTTTGGTTATTTCTTGAGATTCCTTTTCTTTAGTTTTGTCCTGAGATTCCTTTTCTTTGGTTCTTTCTTTTGATTCCTTTCCTTTAGTTATTTCCTGAGATTCTTTTTCTCTAGTTGTGTCCTGAGATTCCTTTTCTTTGGTTATTTCTTGAGGTTCCTTTTCTTTAGTTTTGTCCTGAGATTCTCTTTCTTTATTCGTGTCCTGAGATTTCTTTTCCTTGGTTGCATCCTGAGATTCCATTTCTTTGGTAGCTTGAGTTTCCCTTGTTTTACTTGTGTCTTGGGAATCCTTTTCTTGGGTTTTGGCCTGAGATTCCTTTTCTTTGGTTGTGCCTTGAGGTTTATTTATCTCCATCTTTGGTTTATCTATCTCAGTCTTTGATTTATCTGTCTCGGTCTTTGACACTGGAGCGTCCTCCAGGAGAGCATCCCCAGCGCGAGCAGGGCCCTCCTCTGCAGGCTCAGAGGGACCTTTTTTGCWCTCTTTGGGCTGTTTTTGGGTAGTTTGGGCAGGCTCAGGCTCGGAGCTGCGGTGCTGGGGTGAGCTCTGCTCGCTCTTCGTGCCCCCGCCCGGCTCAGCCMCTCCACCTTTCCTGTCCATCCCAGCTCCTGGCACAGCCTGGGGCGCGGCTCCCTTGGCTCCAGTCCCTGGTGTCCCTGCAGGGGCTGGGGAAATGCTCCCTGTGCCCCTCTCTGCCCCGGACACAGTGGCCCCTGGTGTCCCTGTCTGTTCAGCAGCTCCCGAGGATGCTCTGAGTTTTGGATCTGCCATCTCATGATGGAGCTCTGAGGGAGCCTGGGCAGCGTTGTGCTTTCTATCAGTGGGTTTTGTTCCTTTATCATCCGCCTTTGCCATGGGAGAAAGGTGGCTTCTCTCCTTGGACTGACCATCCTGGGAAGCAGCCTCTCTGCTTTTCCCATCCTCCTGTGAGCCCTCTTCTCCAGGCTCTATGTGCCCCAGACTAACAGTCTGCTTGTGAGATTTCAGGGTCTGCACCTCCTGCTTAGCACCAGCTCCAGGCTCTTTGTTGCTTTTCTGTGCCACAGCTTCCAGAGGAGGAGGAGGAGGAGGAGGAGGAGGAAGGCCCCCAGTCCCTGCACCCCCCTCTCTCTGCTTTGGGGAGCCACAGAGAGCATCACCCACGTCACCAGGGCCACCTGCTGTGGTCTGAGCCACAGATTTGAAGTCACTTCCTTTATTATTCCAAAGCCTCTGAGGGCCAGTGGGAAAGTTTTTAATATTTCTGTTTTCATCTACAAAATCTGTGTCTTCCAYGCCACATTCCAGCCCAGATCCCGGRGGAGGCTGTGCTTCGCTCCTGCCTGGTTTTGCTTCTGGAGGAACAGGCTGCCTGGAGGCATTTTTAGCCTTTTTACTGCTTCCATCATAACCCCTCTTTTTAGATCTCTCAGGGACTGGGACCAGACTGGGATCTGACACTGCTGGATGCTCTGGAACAGGGTTTTTATTCCTGCTGCAAGGACTGGCACCTCCTGCCTCAGGTTTGTCCCTGACCTCCAGGCCAAAAGGAGGRAAGATCTCTGCTCCTGCTTTATGCTCCAGCAGCAAAGGCAGCTGCGGGTCAGGCTCCACCTTTGTGTGCTTCTCTTTACCCTCTGTGTGTGACTTCCCTGGCTCCAAAGGCAAAGCAGGAGCCTGTACCTTAGCAGGAGCAGTCAGGTCACCCAGCAGCATGGCTGGAGTCCTGGAATGAGCCTCCTCACCCTTTCCAGTCTGAGTTTGTTGAACATTTCCTGCTGCGGAGACATCACCCGGCCCCAGCTCAGGACTGTGCTCAGCCTTCCTGCCTTTCCCATCTCTGCCTTTACTCCTGGGTTTGTCCATCCCCATCTCCCTGCTGGGACTGTGCATCCCTGCCCTGAGCTCTGGGAGAGGCTGGGATCTCTCTGCTTCCTTCCCTTTACTCGTAGGCCAAGTTTCTCTGGCACTGCCTGTTCCTGGCTCTGACATCTCYGTTTCATGGCCTGCAAGGTTTGGCTGCTTGGAGAAGCTCCCCCTGCCCCCCTGCATTTGGGGCTTTCCTAGCTCCTCCTCCAGACTCTCCCTTTGCAAACCAGACCCCGTCTCCTTATCCAGGCTCATTTCCTTCCTGCCTCCAGCCGCCTGCTCCTGGCTGCTTTCCCCCCCAGCACCCGGGACAGCTGCCTGACCAGAAGGGCTTTTCTCGGGMTGTTTCCTTCTCCCATCACTGCTCCTTTTCCTGGCTTTCTCTGCCAGCACCGTCACATCCGAGCTGAGCCCAGCAGAGTCCCCAGCTCCTCCAGCCTCTCTGCCTCTCCCAGCCAAGCCCACCTGTGTTGCTGGACTGATGGTGGYAGCCAGGGCAGAATGTTTGGCTTCCTCTCCCCTGCTCTCCAGCACCAAAACTTGGTCTGAAGCTCCCAAATCAGCTCCTACACTTTTCCCACCACTTTCTGTCGCTTTCTCCAGTCCCAGCTCAATTGGCCTTTGCATTTTAGCTGCGTTTTCCTGYAAGCCCCCAGCGGCGACAGAGCCTCCCTCTCTGTCCTTATCACAGCCCTCCTTCACCTCAGGAAAACTGCCTGGATCCATCTGATTCTCAAGGAAAGGCTGCTGGAAAAAGCTTCTTTCCCCTTTTTTGCTCCTTCCATCGCTGTCCCTTTTTTTGGGCTTGTCTGCAGGACAGGCCTGTGCAGGGCTGGCTGGTGGGTGTCCCCTGGCAGGTAAACCTCCATCATTCTCAGGATAAGCTGTTTCTTTTCCAGCCTCATCTGTCCTCCCTCCATCAGTGAAATTGCCTCCATCCTCTGAGAGCATCATCTGCTCTGAGAAATTTTTAATTCTTTTAACTCTCCCTTCACCACGCTTTTTTTTAGGCCTGTCCACCCTGTGTGTAAAACTGGGATCTTTTCCAGCCTGCTGCTCTAAGGCAGTAAATCCTTTCCCTTTGTTTGGATCTGGGGAATCTGCTGCCATCGCCCTGCCCCCTGCCTCACCAGTGGTGTGATGTTTGGGAGCATCGGGAGCACCCTCAGCCTTTCTGTCCTGCACAGCTGGAGCCTCCTCAGCCTTTGGTGACGCCAACGCTGGAACAGGAGCTCCAGGAGCTTTTGTTGGGGTCTTCAGCCCTCCCTCTGACCCTGCTTTACCTTCCCCAGCTGCCTTTGGCTCCGTAGGGAGCTTGTCCCCCATGGCTGCAGCCTCCAGGTGAGGCTGTTTCAGGGATTCCTTTTCAGCCCCTTTGCTTTTTTCGCAGTTTTTTTCAGCTGCTGCTTCCAATGATCCATAGGAAGACTGATGGACAGAGCCACCAGATGCTTCCTGCCCWGCAGATGGGGTTTTAGGCTCCTTATCTTTATGGCAAAGGGGCAATTCCAATGGTTTGGTCTGTAAGGGAGTTTCTGCTTTGTTCAGACTGACCACCAGGTCAGCACATTTTGACTCCTTATCCTCCCTCTTCTCGTTTTTGTTGGGACGATCTCTCTCCGTGGCCCTGGTGGGTCCCTTCGCTGTGGCAGATTCCTCCTCCTCAGTCTTTCCCACCTGCTCCTTGGTTTTGTCTTTGGACTCCAGCACCCAGCTGTCRTCCCTCATTGCTCCTGTCTTCACCTCCTCTGTGGGTTTGGCACCCAGCACGCTGGATTTTGGGGCCTGCTGTCCCGGGGCTGTCCCGGGGAAGGCGTTCTGCTCGTTCAGGGTGTGATTCCCAGCTGTTATTTTAGCATCCTTTGGCACATYCAGAGCTCTGCCTCCCGAGGCCAGYGGCTGCTCCCTGCTCCCTGCTCCGGGACACACGTCTGGATTCTGCCACTCCAMCCCAAAGGGAGCGTTCCTGGGAGCTCTGCAGGCTGCTCCGTTTTCATCCCAGAACTCCATCCCTCTGGGCAGCTGGTTTCTCCTTTGTTTTGGTTTCTTTTTCTTTTTCTTCACAACAGCCCCTTCCAAATCCCAGTTTTCCCGGGGGGGATCTCTGCAGCTCTCCACAGGCTCCATGGGGACATTGGTGGCCTTTTTGTGTGGAACCCTAAAACAAGGGGACGTTCCGGCACCACAGCCAAGCTCCACTGTGGAACAGGGATCTGCTCTGGGCTCAGGACTCTTCTGCTGTGGGAGACCTACAGGATGCTCCTCTGGCCCATCTGTGAGAGGCACTGGGGCAGGTTTTGCTCTGCCAAACCCGCGGTCCCTGGATTTGTGAGCTTGCCTGACTTGTGCAGTGGGAAGACCTGGAATATAGGAAGCCCACTCAAACATCAAGGCCACTATGTGCTTGATAAAAGAAATACTAAATGCACTGTCTCTGTGATTCTAGGCCATAGAGTCAGACGTGCAGGGCTCCCCAGCCCTGGTCCCACACCAGAGCCACCCAGCTATTTAAACACGAGTCCTGCCACAGGCTCTTACCCCACCAAAAAGCACCAGCTCTYGTAAGGACATGCCATTGCTTTTTAAAAATGCATTAAGGATCCATTTTGTCTCAGCAAGACAAGRTCAGAGAGAGCCTTTTTATATCTCTGGCTGGCATCCTTCCAGAGTGGGAAAACAGAAGTTTAGTGGGAAGATGGGAAGAGAGATGGGGGCAGGAGAGCCAAGTTTCCCCAGCACCCAGGGTGGAAGCAGTGGGAGGCAGAACCTCTGTCCCAAGGTCACTTGCTGTGACCCTGGGGACCCGTCAGCTGAGTTCTAGGAGAGGAGCATTTGTCACTCAGCCCTGGCCCACAAATCCTTCTCCACGCACAGCATGAGCAGCACCAGCTCCTCTGGAGGCTGGGTCAGTGGAGCAGGAGAGAATCACATCTTCCTGTGGTGATTACACAGCTCGACTGGGACAGAGATCCTCATTGGGAATACCCTCGTAAGAATTAACAGTCCCTTTAATACCAAAATAAAAGCCAGTGCTGATGGCAGAGAGATRAGGAGCTCTGCCATCCTCCAGCACAGCTGTGAGCCAGTCCCAGTGAGAAAGCACTCAGAGCACCCAGATTGGGGCTTTCTGTTTGAATATGGAGAGAAAAGAGCCTTGGAGAGGACAGGGATCCAAGGGGAAGGGGGAGCCCGGCACCACAACACAAAGAGCCACACAAAGACATTTTTGCTTGCCCAGGTGGCCCCACAGCCAGGAGGAGAAGGGGAAGAGTTCCCAGAGGAGACTTCCAGGAGGAAATGGAATTATTATTCATATTATGATTTGTATCCTACCTGTGGGCTCCTGCAGGGTTTTCCCTTCCTGAGGTTCCACGTGTTGGACGTGGTTGTGCTCAGCCTCCTCCTTTTGTGCCTCACCGTCCTCAGCAGGAGTGGATTTTTCTGGAAGGGCTTTATTTTCTAGTGCTCCTTTTGCTTCTGCTGGAACTGGAAGATGAAAGACAGGAACAGAAAGCTTCAGGTCTCAGGAGTGCAGGCAGCCTGCAGCCAAYCCCCAGCCCTTGGAAAGGGGTTAATTCTGTGTTTAACAGGAATGAAGCTGAGGAAACGTGGTTATTTCATCTCCTCACAATCCATCTGAAGCAGCACTTCAACATTTTGCAGACATGTCAAGGTGGGGGTAGAACATGAAGCAGGGGCTGTCTTGGGCTCAAGCACAGGATGAGGATTTGTTTGGGTTTTTCGTCTTTGTAATCAACCCAATTCAGACCACCCCAGCCTCCCACTGGGAATTCAAATCCAGAACGAACTCCATTATCAGCCTGGAGTCCCTGGCTAATGCTGATCATCTTGTATTCATCTATACCTTACAATACTTTCACATAGACACCAAACATTCCTCACTCTGCATAATTACACCCAGTTTTAATTTGTGAGGCATAATTACATGGGAGAGCACTTCTCCCTGTAATTAATTTTATTTAAATTTTAAATAGAAAGGAAAATGATGACAGACATTGGTACAACAACTGTGGATGAGGAAGAAAAGAACAAGTTCCATGAATAACAGCCCCGTGTCAGCACACACTAAAAACCTGAAATTCCAATTTGGAATTGGAATTCRTTTTCTTTCCTTTGCCAAGGGCAGTGCCTGTGTGGGGCAGGACTAGCCCAGCTTTGCTCGGGGTTGCATTTCCCACCTGCTGGCTCCGGGTGCTGGTTGGTTTTCCCAGGAAGCTGCTCGCCYGGGGGGCTGGGGGGAGGTTTCCTGTCCTTCATCTTCTCTGAGTCATCCCCAAAAACTTCTGGAGCTTTGGATTCCRCTTCCACCTTTGCTGTTGCTTCTGCAAATGGAGTGCAAAGAATAAAAAAATCCTAWTTTTCAATTCAGATCAGATTAAGTAAGACAAAAACCACTCCCCCACCAATTTTTATCTTGCACAAGGAACTCAGGGGTTTCTGCACTTTCAAAACCTTTTGGGAGTGATTTTTAGGATCTTTCTACCTTCCTGTATTTTTTTGTATTTCCTCTCTATTCACCCACCTGGACCTCTCAGTCACTACATTCTTGTGAGGTTTTTTTTAATAAAATTTCTCTCTTGAAATTTATCCTCATCATTAAACTAAAGAGTATTAGAAGATAAAAAAAAATATCTCACTCCAAGCCCATCCACAATCAATCCACATATGCTGCCTCCGCCCAGGACTATTTGCTGCATTTTAGTAATCTAAATATAGAATAAATTTAATTTTGGAGAGCAGTTTTCTCTCCAGAAGTGTCCCCGGAGAAATCCACACAGCACAAGAAAGCTCCACATGGAAAACCAAACACGCCACTTCAACACCTACAGTCGTCCCAAGGAAAGGTCCCAAAATTATCCACAAAGCCTATCAGTCTCTTCAGAAATTGTTTTCAAGGCCCTGTGTCAGCTCTGTGTCCTATGGGATTTTGSAGATTTCAGTGAGAGCTGAGGGTGGTGGTGACACAAAGCCAAGCACCAACAGGGATGAGCCAACACCTCTCCACGGCTGCACTTAAACTACTGAGCCCTGCCCAATGAAAACTTAAAGCTTATTAAAAACCTCTCATTTTRTGTTCTGTGAGCGAAGAATCCCCATGAAGCATTTCCTGTGTGTGCTGAGAGCAGAGCTGAGCTCTCCTCAAGGTGCTCCCTGCAAAGCCAACCAATGCTGGGCTCGCTGAGCTCAGAGGTGGCTTCCAGCCTGAACTATCTGTGACTGGAATTGTGGGATTTGGGCATACTCACCTGCAGGAGCCTTGTCTTSCTGAGGGGCAGTCTCAGATGGTGGCAGCTCCCCAGACACAGCAATTTTGGGGGCAGCTGCAGGGCAGGGCTGGGCTTCCACTGACACCTTCCCGGGATCCACAGTGGGGAGAGGCTTGGCTGGAGCTGCTGCAGMAAATCCAGAATCCAGGCCGTGGGCATGGTTGACTTCTGGTGCTGGGGCAAACTCAGAGTCCACAGCGTGCTGAGGTTTGTTATCTGCTGCTGGAGCAAATCCCAAATCCAAGGCATGGTGAGGTTCTGCATCTGCTGCCGGGGCAAACCCCAAATCCATGGCATGCTGGGATTCCATTCCTGCTGCTGGAGCAAACCCCAAATCCATGGCATGCTGGGATTCCATTCCTGCTGCTGGAGCAAACCCCAAATCCATGACATGCTGGGATTCCATACCTGCTGCTGAAGCAAACCCCAAATCCATGGCATGCTGGGATTCCATACCTGCTGCTGAAGCAAACCCCAAATCTACCCCATGGTGGGATTCCACACCTGCTGCTGGAGCAAATCCCAAATCCACACCATGGTGGGATTCCATGCATCCTGCTGGAGCAAACCCCAAATCCATATCATGGTGGGATTCCACACCTGCTGCTGGAGCAAATCCCAAATCCTGGCCGTGGTGGGATCCAGCGTCGGGTGCCGGGGCGAAGCCGAGCTCTGTCCCCGGGGTGGACACATCGTTGACACCTTTGCGGGGGGTGGGTTCAGGGGCAGCAGAAAGCCCCGGATCTGTGGCCTGGGAAGGGTTGGCTGCTGCTGGAGAGGCAAATCCAGCCCCCGGAGCCTGGGCAGATTTGGTGTCCACGGCATGGCCAGACCCGGCCTTTTCGGCAGGAAGSGCCGCAGCATCGCAGGCGGGAACGGAGGCTGCACCTGCCCGGAACAGGCAACAGAATCAGGGAAAAACAGAATGGGAAAACCTCACCTGGCTGGTTACGGCTGGGGAAAATGAGAGTTTCACCCCCTGTTGCTGCCCTTGGCTTTCAGCACCACTCCCTCCCCTTCCAGCAGTGTACTCCAGCTGTTCCAGCCTTTAGGTCACTCCTGGATGCATCCAAGAGCTTTTCCTGCTGCAGCCCCATGTGCCAGCTCTGCATCCCTGACTGCAGCGGGACTCCCATCTGCTCCCAGCGTGCAGCAGCCAAGGATGGATTGCTCCTGTTCAAAGCCTCCCTGATGCCACAYAGCTGGCCAAGGGCCAAAGCTGCTRGATCCTCTGCCAGGAGCACATTCCAGCAGAACCCAGACAGGAATCACAGCGAGGGGGCTTTCACCGACTCCCAGCATGGCTTGGATGGGAAGGGACCTTGAAAATGTTCCAGTTCCAGTCCCAGTCCCTTGTCATGGGCAGGGCACACCTCCCATGATCCCAGGTTGCTCCAACCTGGCCTKGGACACTTCCAGGGATGGGGCAGCCACAGCTTCCCTGGGAAACCTGTTATTTCTCTGCTGTGGGACACAGAAAATGTGGAATCACCTGTGTGAGCCTGTGGGTTTTCCAAGAGCAGGAAAAGTCCTGACACACTCCAAAGCCACACAATTCATTCTAAACATGATTTGTGCTGGTGAGGAGAATTTGGTGCTCAAGCAGGAGCTGTGAAACTTCTCACACAAAAATGATCCCATGAATCCCAAATTCCCTCTATTCCTTCATATTGGCCTCATTCATTTTTCACACAATATCTCCTAACACTGAGCTGGTAGTTCCAAACCAGCATTTGTCACTTCACAGCACAATCAAACCTCTGCATTTAAGCTCCTATTTGCCTAAAATCCCCTTAAAGGAGGCTTTCCAGTCAGTTTTTGTTTAATGTTCCAGCTGTCTAGAGGCAAGCTTTGCAAATGATCAGTGCCAGAAGCACTGGATTTCTCTTCTGCAGCTTCTCATCTTGACAGCCCCAAGCTCTGCCCACCCTCTGTGTCCTGCAGCTCAGTGCCCTGAACATCTCCCATCTATTGCTGAGAAGATGCTACCAAAAAATWACATTTCTACTGATTTTTTGAGTCACATCTAAAAATATCCTCCCCAACCAATGGAAAATGTATTAAATCTAAATTAGAGATTTAAACTGAAATTGGAAAGAAATAGGAAAATGGAAAAAGTGCCTCTTAAAATGGTACTTCAGGATGCATTTAGATAAGACAAATATTTTAGTGAACCAAACCAAAAGAACCCATTATGAGAGGATCCATTATACAAGAGGTACCAGCCCTCATTTGGGTTCTACTTTGTTGTGGGTTTAAGTGATATCATGATCTTCTCCAAAGAAAATTTAAAGAYTGGGATTTTATACACAAATAACACTGTAAATAAATAGATATTAAAAGCAATATGGATGCTCCCTGGTGAATTACGGAAATGAGTGGGATAAAGCATTAGGAAACTGGACAACTACTGGTACTGTAGATCTGTGTATAAATACATTAAAATGGGAGGTTTTTTAAGAGAGTCTTTAAAAAGGACAGGTTTAAAAGTGATTCTGTAGAGATCTGAGGCTTGGGGACACAGGCAGTGGTGGCTTTGGCAGTGCTGGGGAAGGGCTGGACTCAGTGATTTCAGAGGGCTCTTCCAACCTAAACCATTCCCTGACTCTGTCCTGTAACCACATTCTCAGGATTTTCCTGGAGCTGAACTCTGGAGACAGCCCTGAACAACTGAATCAGCTGCTGGGCTGGGACACAAAGGAGCAGATTTGCTGCTTCTCCCCACACTGCTGAGGCACCCCAAACCTGCAGGATCTGCCAGCGCCTCGCTGTGCTTCCCTCAGGAGCAGCAATTCCACAACTTCCCACCAACACAACCCGCTCCCAGAGGGCCAAACCCCGCCCTTCAGGCTGCAGGAATTTACCTGGCGCCGCACCCTTTGGTCCATCGGTGGCTCCAGCCTCTCCTGGCAATGCTGTGGCTGCAGCGGGAGCGTTTCCAGGCGCTGCTGCCGTGGGGCTCTCGGGCAGACTCGTCTTTATTGCTTCTGCGGCTGCGGGGGGCACTGGGACACAGAAGCAGCCGGGATGAGCATCAAAGGCCTCGGCAGCGGCTCCTCCCTGCAGCTGCTGGGATGGGGCTGAAACTCCCAGAGCCTCAGCCATTCCGGGSAGGGAACTCCCCCCTCAGACCCCCATCAACTCAAAGAGAATCGGCTTTTACTGCCCATTCCCAGGGAAATAATTTATGTGGCACCCAGGAAAAGTCTTGAATCCCGGATGAAGTGGCAGAGTTGGGGAGTGCTGTGTTACAAACAATCCCAGCCCCAGCTCCAAAAGCACTTTCTACCCACGATCAGAGCTAAACTGTTCTCAGCTTCTCCACTGAAATAAAGATCCCATTATGGGACAGGTTTTGTAATACACAAGAATCCCCAATACAATGACGTCCCAGAGTAGCTTCGAAGGTTAAACTGTGACCAGAATCTATAGATAATCACAGAATTCCAGAAAGGTTTGGCTTGGAAGGGACTCTAAAGCTCATTCAGTGCTACTCCCTGCCATGGAAGGGACACCTCCCACTGTCCCAGGSTGCTCCAAGCCCCAGTGTCCAGCCTGGCCTTGGACACTGCCAGGGATCCAGGGGCAGCCACAGCTGCTCTGGGCACCCTGTGCCAGGGCCTCCCCACCCTCCCTCCCAGGAAACAATTCCTTCCCAATACCCCATCTATCCCTGCCCTCTGGCAGTGGGAAGCCATTGCCATTCCTCAAAGATGCATTTCCATTCTAAATTGACTGGAGCAGCAGAAACAGTGCTGTCCTTGCTCAGGTCCCCCTTGGCTCTGTCACAGCCTCATGTTCCCTAAGAGGACAGAGCAGGAGAGAGCTGGCTCTGCTGCTCAGGAACTCTCTACTGAYACTTCCTGCACATCAGCTTAGAACTGATTTTACCTGGTGGCTCAACAAAGAAAGAGGTATCTGGTCCCTTCATGTCCTGCTGAGCTCCCATCCAGTATTCCTCAGGCACTGTGGGAAGAAACACACTCAGTCCAGCCCTGACCCCACAGGGATTTTACATCCCCCATGGAAGGTCTTGACCCTGCTGGTTTGGGACTTCATCCTCAGGTAACATTTCAATTCCCTCTGCAAGAGGTACCAGAACATCCTGTATTTCCACAGTTACTGGGAGTGAAACCTCCCATCAGAGAAGGGTTATAACCAGCACTGACCAAAGAGGAGCTTCTTTCCTCAATTATTTTGGTCAAGTGGCTCTGGGTGGCCCTGTCTGAGCAGGGGGGTTGGAAAAGTTTCCTTCCAAACTCAACCATCCTGGGATCCCCTAACGTAGAATCCAGGATTTGGGYTGCAAGGGACCTTAAGGATCACCCAGTGCCACCCCTGCTATGGGCAGAGACACTTCCCCCTATCCCAGGCTGCTCCAAGCCTGTCCAGAGTGGCCTTGGACACTGCCAGGGATCAGGGGCAGCTCTGGGCACCCTGTGCCAGGGCCTCACACCAGAACATTCCCCCTGARCCGACAACTGCCACTACCAAGAGGAAACTTTCTAATCTTGGCTCATTTTATGTATCAACTTCCCACCAGGATTCTTTAGGACTCATGAACAGGGATTTTTCAGCTGCAARCCCTCCAAACCCAAAAAGAGAAAACATTTGCTTCTCACCTGCTTTTCCTGGCAGGAATTCTGTGCCTGACTCCAGGCCAATGAAGGCTGATGGGTCTAGGGCCTCTGCAGGGGAATACAGGGACCCCAGGAAAGGCTGCTCAGGTCCCATCATAGGTCCATGTGGAGCTAGGGAAATAAAAACCCCTTTGTTAAGCACCAGCCCTGATGAATCCTCTCCTAAACTTCAAGTCCTACAATACTTGGGCTGCTCTGATCAGCAGCAGCAGCTCAGATAAATCTGTATCAAATCTGTTCTGCCTCACAAACCCTAAATTCTGCATTTTACAAAACTTTCTAACAAGTGCAAGACAGTAAACACAGGCAAATTATTTCCTTGGGCTTTCTGCTTCTGCTCCCATGAATTCCTGCTGGTAATCCCTCAATAATCCAATATTAATMTAATAATCCAGGAGGTCAAATGCCAAAGAGCACTTTGTGAAAACAGTTCTGAGTATCTGGATTTTAGCCATGAAAACAAGAGCACGAAAAAAGGCTTGTGAGCTTAGGACCTTAATTTTCACTACATGAGAGTCAGCAGAGAAAACTGCCCAGCTGACAGCTGGGGAGGGATGTCCAGGAGGAGCTCACCAAGGATGTCCCTGGCAGCGTCGGCGTGGCCYGGGAACAGCGGCATGTTCTTCATGTCCGTGGGGAATGACAAGTCTGGCAGGTTCTCCCCTCTGTGGATGCTGAAGGGGTCTGGCAGAGACAGAACCAGGCAGAGTCACCACACAGGGGGACAAGGAYCATCATTGAAACAAGGAATGAAGATGCACCAGATCCCAGCACTGAAATTCCAAGGGAAAGCTGCTTTTGGGGTTATTCAGCAGGAGCAAACACCTTCTTAATTGGAATTCACRCCCAGCAGTAACACTCAGTTGCTCGGGCTGATTCCTGGGGAAAGTGGATCAGGACTGTTCATGGAGAACCTGTCTCCCCCTCTCCAGGAGGGATCATCTGCTTCTTCCCTGCTGGACACATCCAGTTATTCCGAGTCAGGAGCCAGGGCTCAGCTCAGCTCCCCCCAGAGCAAGGAAAGGTATGGGAYCCCCAAACCCTCCTGGCCAGAACTGCACCCCAGTGTGAACTGGAGTGATGGGTTGGGGTTTTAACCAAGTTACTGGGAAATTAAAACATCTCCCAGTGCTCCAGGCAGACTGCTCCATMCTTGGGAATGTCCAGGGCTGGGTTGGATGGGGCTTGGAGCAACCTGGGATAGAAGAAGTTGTCCCTACYGTGGCAGGGGTGGAATGGGATGAGCTTTAAGGTCCCTGTCATCCCTGCCCTCTGGCAGTGGGAAGCCATTCCCTGTGTCCTGTCCCTCCATCCCTTGTCCCCAGTCCCTCTCCAGCTCTCCTGGAGCCCCTTTAGGCCCTGCAAGGGGCTCTAAGCTCTCCCAGAGACTTTTCTCCCCTGGGTGAACAATCCATTCGCAGACACTCAGATTTCTCCCAGTTAACGCCAGTTAAGAGGGAGTTCCTTGAGGGCTGGGGCTCATTTCCATGCCAGATGTGCTCCCTGCAGGGCTGACAGCATGGCCTGAGGTGTTCCTGTCTGGGATGGCAGGATCAGGTGAGCTGAGTGAATTCCTTTATCGACCTGTCAGATTATTTGAGAGGCCAAGACAACATCTTGCCTCAGAGCAACGTGGAGAATATTTTGATTTCAAGCTGTTTAGATCAGCATTGCCAGGTCTGAACAACTGCCTTCTTTCCAATTAAAAAAACAACCCCAAAAACAAGGGGAAAAAAAAGGTCATGACAGAAACCAATTTAAAACTGAAAGAGATCCCACTGATGTTCCCTCTTTCCCTAGCAGCTGGATAATGTGGAAAAAATGGGCAACTCAGATCTCTGGGCAAACCCCACCTCTTCCCTGGAGGGGAAAAGGGAGAAGTGGRAGAGCTGGAATTTCRCCTGTTTTTTCCCCAGSGACCAAGGAATTACAGCAATGGTGGTCAAGAGATCCATTACAGCACCGGCCAGAGAATCCTCTCCTCGGGAGGGAAATCATCCTCCACTTTCCAAAGAGTGGGCACACAAACACTTCACAAACCCACAGACTTCTCTGGTCCTTAAAGCTGCTCCGTGCCCTCTGATCCCTCTGCTCCTTTATGGGAATGTCAAGCACAATCTCATTTACACCCAATGGGAAGAGCAGGACAGGGAATACTTTGATCCTGAACTTCACCTGGTGCCTGTGCAGGTGTGCACGGCACAGTGCCTAAAGAAATGGTTTCATGCAACAAATATACCACAAAATTCGCATTATTCACTGYTCAAAAGGACAATGGGTGGTACGTAAATTGCTCCTAATTAACGCATTTGACATCTGGCTCTTGAGCACAATGACATCAAYGTCCCATTCCAGCACCCACACAGCAACAGGAAGGAAAACCCAACCAACCTGTGGCTCTTTACTTCCAGTTCTYCTATGAATCATTCCTTATGTAAAAATACATCATTTCTCCACAGATACAAAATATGAGATTCACACAGCAAGGAAACCATGCACTAAGCAGCTCTACAGTACTCAATATATTAAAAAAAGAAGTTCCACTCTGTATCTTTCTGGGTTGATTGCCTGGGATAATCTGGGCAATTCCAACAGCAAGCAATTCCCATAAGCTTTCACAAAATRCAGRAAAGAAAGYAGAAAAGTRAGGGGAAGCTGCTGGGTAAAAKTGCATCTGTGTGCGGGGCTGGGCTMCACCAGGCCCGGCTCCCTGTGCAGAGGGTGAGGGACAGCGTGGCCCAGATCATCAACTCCAGCGTCTGAACACCCCAACAGACCCCAAAACACACCACAAACACTGTGTCTGCTTGGGTTTGAAACACCTCCAGGGATGGGCATTTCAGCCCCTGCCAAGGCCTGACCACCCTTTACATGAGGAATACTCCCAGTATCCAACCTGAGCCTTCCCTGACACAGCCTGAGGCCGTTCCCTCTCCTCCTGTCCATGTTCCCTGGGAGCAGAGCCTGACCCCTTCCTGGCTGCCCCCTCCTGTCAGAGAGTTGTGCAGAGCCACAAGGTCCCCCCGGAGCCTCCTTTTCTCCAGGCTGAGCCCCTTTCCCAGCTCCCTCAGCTGCTCCTGGTGCTCCAGACCCTTCCCCAGCCCCATTCCCTTCCCTGGACATGCTCCAGCCCCTCCAGGTCTCTCCTGTCAGGAAATCCCAAAGCTGCCCCCAGGATCTGAGGTGGTCCCTCAGCAGTGCCAGCACAGGGGGACAATCCCTGCCCTGGGGCTGTGCCCACGATGGGGCTGGCACTGCAGAGGGGCCACTGGCCGCTTGTCCCCCTGGGCACATCTGGGCTAATGTCACCAGCATAGCCAGGGCCTTTCCCGGGTTTCCAGCCCCTCTATCCCAGCCTGGAGCACTCTGCAGGGTTATGGTGCCCCTCACCCTGCTGGYCTCAGCCCACGGACCCAGCTGGTCCAGACCCCGGCCTGGAGCCTTCYCACCCTCCAGCAGACCCACATCCCACCCTGCTCAGGGCTGTCCCTGAGCTCCCTGAGGGTTCCCTCCCTCCCTGCCTCACCCAGAGCCCCAAAGTGGCCACAGAACAGGGCAGGGCCCGGCCCTGAGGAGCCCTGGGGCYGTGGAGGGCACTGGGGCAGAGACCCCCACAGGGATGGGGCCAGGAATGGTGCCAGGAGTCCCTGAGGCCCCCCAGCTGCTCAATCCAGGGACACTCCCAGCTCCTGAGCTGTCCTACCAGCCATGTCCATGGGTTTGAAGCACAGGTCCCTCTCCTCTGCCGACCAGGAGTCRTTGCGATCCAGGAACTCTTTGTAGGACATCTTCTCATCCATGATTTCTCCTGGGAATACTGACATGGGAGAAGAAATGACCCAGTCAAAAGCCAAACATTAAAATAKGTAGAATGGATCACTGCACCATGTGCCATTCAGATGTGACATCCCAAGGGAACAGGGACTGACAGTCAAACCACAGACCATAACATTAATTTCTTACTGGTCTGATCCAGCTCTCCAAATACCAGACACAGAATAATAGTGATTTCTGTGTCCTGACGCACATGTGAGATCAACAATGGATTCACATGGAAGTGCTGTCCTGCTCCAAAGCCTCCAGGTGGACAAAAGAAACAAACTCATAATGCCTGAAGCTTTAAACAGGACAAACTCCGTGGAAGGCTTCAAAATTAATGCCCACACTAATGACTTTGAGCTTCTTATTTTTTTTTTAAAGAGGCCTGAATTTGTCAGCTCTTCTGTGGGCAACATTAGTTTTAAACTGGTTCCAGTTTCTTCTGGAAACAGAAATATTTGCACCGACTCCTCTCATCTCCAGTACAGCATTTCCTACTCACTTGCCAGTACATCTCCTTATGCTTTTCATATTTTTACCTTCACTTAGGCTGACAATACCTGCAAGCCTGGAGTTTGGGAGAGGAAATGCATCACAAAATATCCCTGAATTCAGTGAAAACTGCAGTTAATAAAAATGACCACCACATTTTAAGACACAGAAGAAACAGAAGGGAATAATTCATCAAAAGCACGACCYTGGTCTGTAAAAGCAACAACCTGGAGGTGCCAGGTGGGCTGAGAGCTCACAGCAAGGTGGGCAGAGATTCAACTCTAAAAATTTTAATAATAACAAAGTGATTAAGAAAGAATACAATGAAAAATGTCTTTTGTGGGATTTGGCATTTGCTTCACATCATAAGAAAACGAAAGGCTGCCAGGACAAATCATCAGTGGGTTCAACAATTTGCTCAGAGAGTTTGGGTTTGGAAGAGTAGGAGAGGATTCTGTGGAGTTTGAAACACATCCAAACCTCTGATTAGGGGTAAAAATGAAATATTATTTCTAATTTATAACGTAATTAGTAATATAGATAAAATAATAATTTAGATATTAAAACTAATAATATATATTGTAAAACTATAATATATTAGGCAATTTATATTATATCTTATATATAAGATATAAATACATAGAATATATTATATAGCATATATGATATATATTTACTTTTATAATATATTTTATGTTTTAATGCATTTTCTATTATGCATTACAATATATATATTATAATGTATATTTTATATATTTTCACATGTTACATATTATATAGATTACCTAATATTTTATTATATTTATAAATAGATATGTACATTATCTATTATACACTTTATAGATAGATAATGTACATTATCTATTATACACTTTATTTTATATATTTGTATATATACATTTATATATTTAATTTTATATATTTATATATATACATATATACATTATATATTTATAAATGTATATTTTTATTTATACATACACAGAGACACATTTTTATATATATAAAGATATCTATATAAATATATAGATATACATACATATATACACATACAGTAAAAAAGAACATGTGCAATGACTAATAGAAATAATCTAAATATTACTTCCAGTCAGGTTCTGGAGCTCCAAGCGCTGCTGCGTCCCCAGGGTGTGGCCTCTGTGATTTCAGGGCCGTGTGACAGTCCCTGTGTGTGACACTGTGTGCGTGACTCTCCCTGTGTGTGTGACCCTCCCTGTGTGTGTGACCCTCCCTGTGTGTGTGACCCTCCCTGTGGGTATGACACTGTGTGTGTGACACTGTGTGTGTGACACTCTCTGCGTGTGTGACACTGTGTGTATGACACTGTGTGTATGACACTGTGTGTGTGACACTGTGTGTGTGACCCTCCCTGTGTGTGCGACCCTCCCTGTGTGTGTGACACTGTGAGTGTGACCCTGTGTGTGTGACCCTCCCTCCCTCTGTCCCTCCCTCTGTCCCTCYCTCRGCGTGTCCCCACTGCAGCCGTTCCCAGCAATCCCTTCCACAGGGCGCTCCCCACTAATCCCAGGAAAGGCAGGAGCTTTCCGGGGCTTTAGGTCCCCTGGAGGGGTCACACGAAGGGAAGGGCCGCGTGCTCAGGGACACAGCAGTGGCACCGCGTCCCCAGTGCCACCTTGGGCGGGAGCAGGACCCCAGCTCTGCCTCCCCCTCTCCCAGAGGCTGATCCTCGCTGTCCCACAGCAATGATGCAGATGGGAACACTCTGGGAAAAGGCTTTTTCCTTACTGAAACCCAAACTCTGGAAAAGGCTGCCCTTGGGGTGGACGCTGGTTATGGGACGGAACACTTCCAGTGAATAAGGGAGCCACAGAGTGGGATCTGGAATGGTTTGGGGTGGAAGGGACACCCCTGACCCGTTCCAAACTGTGCCGGGGCAGGGACATGTCCCCCATGGGCAGTGCCAGGCTCTCACCAGRGCTCACGCTGTAGGACAGATCCCATGAAGCTGCTGATCCAACTGCAGACAATAACACGGATTTTTTCCGCTCACACACACTGGGAAAGCCGGAGATGGGGAATCARAGGGCAATTCCAGCAAACACAAGCTCTCCCACTCCTGGGCTCCCAGGCCAGCAGGACTCAGAGCAGGCACTGCAGCCCTGCCCCTGCACACACCCAGCCCCAATCACCCCTGGAGCCCRGAACAGTGGGGTTTGGCACGGGGGCTCGGAGCTGATACCCTGCTGAAAGGCCCCACTGGCCAYGGSTGACTGCAGAACGAGCACACTGAAYRCTCCCAGGCCAGGGCTCCCACCAGCTCTGCCTCCCCTGTGGCAAGGGACATGGGGACGTGGGGAGGCAACAACCCTCCAAGTGCCCCGTGGAAAATCCAGCCCGGGCAATGCTGTCAGAGCTCTTAAATTACCAAGGCTGATAATTTAAGGGGAAAATATTTCATTAATATTTTATTTGATAATATAATGTAATTTTTGWAATATTTTATTTAGATTTGCAAAGTGCTTTGGAGATACAGTGCCGCTGCAATGTGTCAAGAGACATTATTATTATTTACCATTATTTGTGGTACAGAACAGCAAGGGATTTAATTAGATTCCACTGTAAATTCCTCTAGACAGGGGGCTGTCATTTGCGTGTCTATAAAACTATATAAAGCAAAAAAAAAAAAAATAGAAGACACTAAAAGTCCTTGACAGTGCGAGGAAGAGCCTGGGAGCAGTTAAAAACATTCAAGAACCTCTTTGAAGATGATATTCTGATTTTATGGTGTGAACTGAGCTCTGGGTGGACCCACACTGAGGCTGATGGAGAGCACCCRCTGCTTGAACGCTAAATATTTGCAATAAATCTATTTGTTAGCACTAAAAACATATTGACATATTGCCATGATTCAAGATTTCACAGGGAAGAACACAAAAAAGTAGAAGGGAGTCCTCCACTTTGGGGTTGTTTTTAGTAGCCACGTTGTGTTCATGTCTTTAAACACAGAGGGGAACCACACCCGGGGCTGGAGGCGGAGGGAGCAGAAGGACACAACGGAATTGTAATGGGAAATATTTCCATGTGACATCAGATGARACCAAGCTGAGCAAAAAACTCTCARYGTTTGCAAGCCCTGAGCTCCAGCAAAGCCCCAAAAGCTGCTAGAAGCTGCATCAGGAGCAGTTGGGAGCTGCCTCTGCCAAATCCTTCGAAATCTCAACCCAAGACTGGGACATTCTTCACACAATATTTTACAACAGATGCAAATTAAAAACCCAAACCAGCCACCACTTCCCAGCAGGAATCGCAGCGCAAGGAGGGATCCAGGCAGCTCTGGAGCAGCCAAGAGGCCAGAGCAGGGCCAGGAGTAGGGTCAAGCCTGGATCAGCCCCCCAGAGCCAAGGCACCCCTGCCACAGCCAGGACAACGAAGATTGCTGCACCACAATTGCCACCAGCAAAACCCCCTCTGCTACTGCCAAAATGTTTTCCAAGTTATTTGCCATAAAGTGGACACTTCCAGCTTATCTTTCATCCCCATCCCATCCCAACAATCAGCTCCTCCTTATCAAGCCTGGAACACAAAACGTGATCTCAGAACAAGGTCCCAAGGACTGGGAAAAGAGGATTTTTCAGTTCCAAACCCAACCTCCCCAAACACTCATTCTGCCTCTGACCTACCAACAAAAGACACAGAAACAGCAAAACGAAGCCAAGCCTTTACAAGGCCCAGTGCTGACGGTGCCTGTKAATGTGCATCAGCAGCAGATAATGCACTCCACACAAAATGCAAATCTGACAGATCCCACAGACCTGTAAAGCAATTTTAGCAAGTATTAAAGCTGGCTGATAGCTGAAAATCCGGTTACGARTCCTGATAATATAAACCAATGTAGGATTAGAGCTTACAAAGTCTTGCTTAAAGGAAAAAAGACCATTAACAACATACTTACAAAGCAAACTTGCTTCTGAAAGTAAAAATAAGGATCCCATGCAAGTAGCACCTTCCCCGCACCAGTGCCAGGGCAGGACGAGGGTGGAACATTTAGCAGAGCTGCTGACAGTGCCAAACTGTTTGTTTGATCATCTCTCTGCAGAAATCAGCACAGTCACACCACCCAATTCACAGCTGATCCAGCCAAAAGTGCTCTCCTGACCACGCACCCCACGCCGAGCTTGGACCTCGGGCAGGACCGGCTCCTGGAGCTGCTGTCCCGCAGGACTTCCCACGGGGAATGTCCAGGCAGGGCTCTCTGAGCAGAGGATTACCCGCTAAAGCCTTTTCGCTGCAGGAGATGCTAATCTTGGGAGGTCACCGGCCAGACCTCCAGCTCGGGGTTAAGGATCCTCACAATGGATGAGTGAGCAGCCAGGAGAGGGCCCTGGCAGCACCCAGCAGGGAACAGGCACAGGGAGGATTAGGAACTGGAAGGGAATTTGCCCACATCACCCACGGGATGGGTGCACTTCACACAGGGGCTAAGCTGGCCTTGCTGCAATCACTACAGAATGGTTTTACCAGTCCTGC